CTTCTACTGACCTTTGCTGTCTTCAGCTGCTGACACTAGACTGATAGATGGCTGGCTTCTTGTCCAAGTAGGCATTGGGTAGCTAGTGCCAAGTCCAGGTAGGTTCTCGTGGATTTTGTGGGGGCAGCTTGGCTACGCCTCTTTGTCTTAGAGTGTGCAAGATGGCTGGCCTGAGTGTGGGCCACCTTATACAAGCTGGCCACTGGTATTGGTGGGTTGTGCTAGGCCTCTGGCCTGGATGGGCACCTGGCAAATGGGCCCTGGTCTTGGCAGGCATCATATGGCTGGTCAGCTTGCACTTGCATTTGGGTGGCTGGCCTCAGGGTTGGGTAGGCTATTGCTTCTTGCTGTAGAGCTTGCTGTTTGCATGCCAGGCTCCTGTCTGGAGAGGCTTATAGGTGCCTTTTTAGGATCCTGATCATGGCCCAGGGGACGCTGAGCTAGAGGGCAGGATGTGGCAGGGTAGGACAGAAGAGGGCACCTAGCTGTTGCTGGGTAGTGGGTGTTTGGCTGGGTCTGACCTTACTTCAGGTCATTTCCTTCCCTCTTTCTTTCTCTTCTGGACCCATCTATCTCTTGCAAATGGAGGAGGTTGCGCAGATTGGCCAGATCCTCAGATTGGTTCTGAGAAGTGGTTCTGAGAAAGTCAAGCTCTGTCACTGGGCTGCAAGCCCACAACCCTCTGAGAAGGAGAACAAGCATTAAAGTAAGTAAGTATTTTCCTTGTCATGCAGGCCAAGCAATACACACTGTGCACTACCAATGTTAATTTTAAAATGCCTGGTGACCAGGCCCAATCCAAATACAGAATTAAATATTATTTTTCCACTTATGGTTTTTCCCTGTGTCAACACATTTTGCTGGATGTTAGAAAAACTACAACGGCAAAAAATATATAATTTCTCACCCCTTCTGGGTGTTATGTTTATTCCTCATTCTCGGGTCCTCTACCAGAAGCCTGTGAGTCTGAGCATTCTGCACAGTATCTTAGCTGTTCCTAGAACTGCACTCTTCTGGACAGCAATGTCGGATGTCCCACCTGGAATCTGTTGAAGCCACTCCTCCAACTTGGGGTCACGGCCCCAAGTGCTCCTATCACAACTGGGCCTACTACTGCCTTCACTTTCCACATCCTTTCTATAATGCTCCAACTTTAATTCCAATGTTAAATATATATAGTAAGATTCAGCTGAAAAAAGTACAAACATCTAGTGACACAGCAATCAGAGGTAAGGATACACACAACAATACGTTAGAAGAGACACTAGTCTATCTTATGGTTACTGCCCAACATTTAATGTTGTATACAGCCTTATAAGCAAAGCAAATAGACTGAAAAACCTGAACATCTTGAAGAAAGTATCAAACAGCATACCTTGCAAGTTATATCTTATTAAGTGTTCTTGCATAAGCAAGACCACTTAATGTTATCTCACATATATATTATTCTTATTCTTATTATAGCCAAATTTACCACCCTAACTCCTCCCACAGTTTTTACACTACATAGACAGAAATATACCAAAATGTGCGGATTGTTCCCGATTGGATTGCTGTTACTTTGTGGAACGTTTTGCCAAATGGTTCACGGAATATCGTCGTTCTTGTGGCGAAATTGGTCCCATATGAATGAATGGCAAAATGTTCAAAACGAGTGGGAGCTGGCAAAAGCTGAAAAATCAGGACATGATTTCTAAACTCCCACCACTCCCTCATTTTCAAGCCCACCTGCACAAATCTTATATCAAAACATTCAGCTATCCCTGCTGCCACTAGAAATGTACACGGCTAAGCCATAGTCCTGATAGTTTTCACAATATGACCATTTGTTTGCAACTCACGCCGTCCATTGACATTCATTGAAACTCCACTCTAGCCAGCTCAAACTTGAAGGGCAATTTCTAAACTGCGACTGTGCCTTCATTTTTAATACTTCAGAGACATACTATGCATCAAAATGTACCTCTGGGTTTTGTGATTCTCGCAACATAAATCTCTTCACTGTAGGATTAATAGTTTTTAAAATTTGAAAATGGCAACCGCCAAAAATACTCTGACCTGTGCCAGGCTGGAGCAGCAAGTGATGTCATAGACATGGCCTTTTGTACACCTGCTAATGTTTTTATAAATGTATGTTTTAATGTAACTGTGAAGCACTTTGGGCAACAACGTTGCAATTAAATGTGCTATATAAATAAATAAAAGTTGAAATGCATTTCTCACTCTATCACGCTTGACATATGCACTTTTTTAAATTTGATTAATCAATTGGTCAGTGTAATGTTTACTAAACACTCCACACAGTTACTCTGCTCAGTCCAACCTTTCAACAGTTACTCAAGCCACTCCACCCAGTCACTCCGCCCACTTCAGTTGTAGACTACTGGTGGAGGCAAGAACACTTCACACAACTTCCCCAGAAATTGTAGCTTTTCTAGTTACTAACTACAATCCTAATTAAATGAAATGGAGGTCACACGTTGATCCCCTAAAAAAAGGTTGATGCTCAGTATTTTGAAGCAGTAAGCACTTTTGTTACTCTTGCAAAAATCCTGTGAGTTCCCTCAGTTGCATTTGCTCTGAATTTTACAGTCTTACTTACGAAGGACACAGATGCTTGTTAAAATGTATGTTTTGCAGATTGAGCACCATCAAATCTGTGTTTTTTTTTAAATTATTGATTACATCCATAAAACTGAAAATCTGTACCTGTCAGATAACATTTTGAAAGATATTGACAAGCAGGGAGGCTAATTAGGTTACTCCTAATTTATTGGAGTAATTGGAGAACTATTTATCCTTGATTGTACTGAACAATTTTCTCCTGCTGCTTGGTGATGCTTAATCTCTTAATTCTGGTGTGCTGGCTATACGCATCGCATATATGAACGCTAAATCTTTCCATTCCTATTGTAGAAGCATGGCGCCCAGGTTACACGATACTACTGATAAACAAGAGTACATATTTTTGATTGAATAGGATGAATGTTCCTCCACGTTAGAGATCACAAACTCAAGAATAAGATTATATTAGTACTTCCTCTATTGTCACCTATGATGATGTTTGTGCTTTTTTTTGCCGTAGTGATAATTCAATTCTAAACATATACCTGTTATAGATAGCCAAATAATGAATACATATGGTATCTAATAGTAGGAAAGATTACCTCTACCATCACTTGTATTTGTAACACTAATTTAAGGAGGTCGCTGGTGCAAGAATTTTTTACGACCACCTCTAGTGCATGCATAGTCAAAAGGTTGATTCCCATCTGTTGTACAACCTCCATAATGCTTTGCCAGATGGAGATCAACTATGTGCCCATCTTTGCAGAGCTTTATTTGTGAGCAGTGTTTGTGTTTGAATGTAAGCATGTTTTGTTTTGTGTGTTTGAATGTATGTATGTATTTATTTGTGTGTAGTGTTGTCATCTGAATACAATTGTATGTAGTGTTGCTATTTAATAGCAGTGGTGTACTTGAGTATAGTGTTTGTGTTTGACTGTGCTTGTATGAAACACACTATAACACACACAGATACACACACTGACACATACACAGTGCAAATGCATCAAACAGTTCATGAAGTTTTAATGTCTGTATAGCAGCAGCAGTATATCATTATAATCACTCCAGTGACTTGCAGCATTAGTAATGAAAGGTGTTCATACTCCCTTAATCTGTCAATTTCTGTCCAAAGTCTGATATTACAGATTACAAGTAATGGACCATTTGTACCCACTTTGGATGCAGTGTATTGGAAATTGTACTTTTCCTTCTCAGTAATCCTGGTAGTCCGGTCCAGGTCAGGATTACTCACCTGTTCCAGCTCTTTATGAACTCTGTTAGAGGTATATTCAAAGGTAATTCTCCAGGTCCTTACAGCAACTTGTCCTTGTGTGGGTGCTCAATGTGCTGTCATTGTTTTGGCCAAACGTGTGTCACCCATCAGGCTTTATCAATAGCTTAGTGTCTGACAGGGCCCCTGATCAAGGATGGCCATCGAGTGGCCCAAAGTTTACCCTATGGTCCCTCCTACTTGCAATAGTTGTAACCATTGCCACGATTGAAATAAGATATATAGCTTATTTTCTGTCTATGGTACTCCTTAAGTTCTTTATTTCCCATCTGGTGGTGTGAATAAAAATACAAATGGAAGGATAGCATGTAGAATATTCTTAGTTAATGTGATAAAAGCATACAAGTATTTTTTATGACAGCAGCCGTTTATTTAAGTTTTGGATAGATAAAGTTGTTTTATCAGTTTATTTTAGAATACATCGTAGGAAGATGCTAGGCAATAGAATGCACAGTAATATTTATATCCATGTGGAATGAAATAATTACAGCTACACCCTCAAATATATATATTAATATCACAATTTCTATCTTAAGTTTGGATGCATGGCATTGAAATAAATACATATTCTTTTATGAATGTAAATAACACTGATATGAAGAAGCGAAAATCGAATTTTGACACTTTAAAAAGACATAACCATCACAATGTAAAAACAGTAGGCGATACCACATGAGGGTACAAGGTCCTCCAGTAATGTTACCAGGTATATAGGAATATGTTATATTGCCACAGGAAAAGGCCCAACCACTGGGTAAGCAGGCATGTTTTAGATGACTGGGCTGCCTTATAATGGAATTACAGGACATCTGTACATGAGTACATATGGAGTAATTTCTGACCTTGCATAATAAAATAGTCTGTCATAATGTTCATTTTCAGTTAAATTAAGCTTCAACTGGTTACATTTGGGAATGAGGTCAGGGTTACAGTGCCTTGCAAAAGTATTCACCCCATTGGCATTTTTTAGTGTTTTGTTGCCTCACAACCTGGAATTAACATGGATTGTTTGAGGATTTGCATCATTTAATTTACAGAACATGCCCACAACTTTGAAGATTTTTTTTTTATTGTGAAGCAAACAACAAATAGGACAAAATAACAGAAAAAGTCAATGTGCATAACTATTCACCCCCCTAAAGTCAATACTTTGTAGAGCCACCTTTTGCGGCAATCACAGCTCCAAGTCGCTTTGGATAAGTCTCTATGAGCTTGCCACATCTTACCACTGGGATTTTTGCCCATTCCTCCTTGCAAAACTGCTCCAGCTCCTTCAAGTTGGATGGTTTGCGCTTGTGAACAGCAATCTTTAAGTCTGACCACATATTTTCTATTGGATTGAGGTCTGGGCTTTGACTAGGCCATTCCAACACATTTACATGTTTCCCCTTAAACCACTCAAGTGTTGCTTTAGCAGTGTGTTTGGGGTCATTGTCCTGCTGGAAGGTGAACCTCCGTCCTAGCCTCAAATCATGCACAGAGTGGTACAGGTTTTGCTCAAGAATATCCCTGTATTTAGCACCATCCATCTTTCCCTCAACTCTGACCAGTTTCCCAGTCCCGGCTGCTGAAAAACATCCCCACAGCATGATGCTGCCACCACCATGTTTCACTGTGGGGATGGTGTTCTTTGGGTGATGTGATGTGTTGAGTTTGCGCCAGACATAGCGTTTTCTTTGATGGCCGAAAAGTTCAATTTTAGTCTCATCAGACCAGAGCACCTTCCTCCATACATTTTGGGAGTCTCCCACATGCCTTTTCGCAAACTCAAAATGTGCCATTTTGTTTTTTGCTGAAAGTAATGGCTTTCTTCTGGCCACTCTGCCATAAAGCCCAACTCTATGGAGCGTACGGCTTATTGTCGTCCTATGTACAGATACTCCAGTCTCTGCTGTGGAACTCTGCAGCTCCTCCAGGGTTACCTTAGGTCTCTGTGCTGCCTCTCTGATTAATGCCCTCCTTGCCCAGTCCATGAGTTTTGGTGGGTGGCCGTCTCTTGGCAGGTTTGCTGTTGTACCATGTTCTTTACATTTGGTTATGATAGATTTGATGGTGCTCCTGGGGATCATCAAAGATTTGGATATTTTTTTATTACCTAACCCTGACTTGTACTTCTCAACAACATTGTCCCTCACTTGTTTGGAGAGTTCCTTGGTTTTCATGGCAGTGTTTGGTTAGTGGTGCCTCTTGCTTAGGTGTTGCAGCCTCTGGGGCCTTTCAAAAAAGGTTTGTATATGTAATGACAGATCATGTGACACTTAGACTGCACACAGGTGGACATTATTTCACTAATTATGTGACTTCTGAAGGTAATTGCTTGCCCCAGAGCTTTTTATGGGCTTCATAACAAAGGTGGTGAATCATTCGCACATGCCAATTTTCTGTTTTCTATTTCTAAAAAATAGTTTTATCTATATATTTTTCTCATTTCACTTCACCAACTTAGACTGATCCATCACATAAAATTCAGATTAAGAAACATTGAACTTAAGGCTGTCATGGAACAAAATAGGTAAAAAGTCAAGGGGGGTGAATGCTTTTGCAAGGCACTGTACATGTCATATTATAACATAATTCTGCCATAGTTATATTAAGAGTCATTATCAAGGTCACATTCGGTCGCAAAGTCCTTGCTTGTGGTTGACCTTCCATGTAAGCATAGAGAGAGATAAACCTCTCGACATTATCTTCTTCTACATCGGTATCATTGTAAATAATACCAAAATAGCTTTTAAAGTGGCCACAGGGGTAGGTGCAACTATTAAACAAGATTCAATGGCATATTTAGTGCTATGTACTGAGTTGAGGAAGGTGGAGGTTAAATTGAAAGCTTCTGCTATTCATAACCATATATTATCTTTCCAGGGACTATGTTCTCTAGCTAACAAAGAGGTCCTGCTAAAATGGCATACACACGAAAAGGAGAGTATTTCATCATGATTCCAGTTTAGGGGTAACCACTTTGCAGTGACTGGCATGAATCCAAAATCAGAAGCACGCCATATTGGCCCAAAATCATGGGCTATACCAAAGGCATATCAAGAGCCTGTGTAAATATTAGCAGTCTTACCAGAAGCCATTTTACACGCTTCAGCGAGTGCCTTCAGCTCAGCCTCCTGTGCAGAGCAGTGAGGGGCGAGTGGTTCAGATTTAATCACCTCAAGTGCAGAGACTACAGCGTATTCAGTGTGGAAATTACCCTTCTCATCAGCATATCTGGAACCGTCTACAAAAAACTCAAAGTCTGGATTAGACAATGGAGAATCAATTACATGCGAAAAACCTGCTGTCTCTTGTGCCATTAATGCTGCACAGTCATGGGGTACCTGAGCTTCTGCTAACTCATCTGGTGACAGAGATTTTACAAAAAGATCAGAACCACTACTAACACTACTCTCCTCTTTGAAATCCATGGGAAGCAATGTAGATGGATGTAACACCATACATCTTTTCAGGGTGATATTGGAAGACATAAGTAGGGCACACTGCCTCCTAAGATGCCTAGCAGTATGTATATGTTTGGGCTGAACTTGTGACAAAATGCTATTGATGTCATGCGGAGTGTAAATGGTAACAGGATTGTCTAAAATAATGTCAGTGGCTTTGTCCAGTAGTGCAGTAACAGCAGCTACTGCACGCATACAGGAAGGGACCCTCTTTCAACAGGGTCTAACCTGGTAGAGTAATAGGCAACGGGTATCTGTTTCCCACCATGGTCCTGAGTGAGGACAGCTGTGGCATAGCCAGCTTGATCTGTGCAAAACAGAGTGAAGGGCTTCCTATAGTCTGGTAGACCCAGTGCCTGGGCTGAGGTGACAAGGAATTTAAGAGTGTAAAAGGCTTCCTCAGCTTCAGGAGTTAAATGAAAGGAGTCAAAATCAGGCAATCGTACAAGGGCTGCATGTAGATTGCTGCAGAGCGAAGCCAAGGGCGACAATAGGAGATTAGACCCAGATATGTACATAGTTGGGCTAGGCTGCGTGGAGGGTTAATTTGGTCAACAGCTTTTTTCCTGTCTTTTGTGAGATGCTTTGCAGCCTGAGAAATACAGTGTCCTAGAAAAGTAATGGTGGGAACGCATGCTTGTAATTTGGCTTTGATAGCTTTGCACCCTGCTTGTGCCAAAAAATGTAATAAAGACAGGGTGTGCTTAGTACATGACTCCTGATCAGGGCAACACAAAAGCAAGTCATCAGCATATTGTAGTAACACAACATCAGTTGCCCTTGGCCACACTTCGAGAATTTGGGCCATTGCCGAACTATACATAGTAGGTGAATTCTGGGCACCTTGTGGCAAAACTGTCCAGGTGTATTGTTTGTGCTTGTGTATGAATGCAAAAAGGTACTGGCTGTCTGGGTGCAATGGTACAGAAAAGAAAACATTTGCCAAGTCAATGACAGTAAACACAGTAGAGGAGGGTGGAATCTGGGATAACAGTGCATGGGGATTGAGTACATTCGGGGTGATTAGTTCAATAACTACATTTACTGCCCTGAGATCGTGCACCATACGGTAAACCACTGCTTTTCCCTTTCTCTACTTTATTTTTGATGGGAAACATTGGGCTATTACATGTGGAGGCAGTTGGGATAATAATAAATGCCTGTAGCAATTCATGTATAGATTGTGAAATGGCATCATCTTAAACTGGACTAAGACAGGGCTGTTTCTGACAGGGAGGGGTAGCTCCTGGCAGGAGATTCACTTTGACTGGGGGCACAGAGAGTATGCCTGTATCTGTCTTCCCTGAAGCCAATTAGTGAGCTAGTTCATCAACCTTTACTCTAGCCCATTCTTTAAGGGCCAGAACCAGACTTGATTCTAAACCAACTGACCAGCTTGAGATCAACTGCATCTCTTAAATCTGCTTCTGCCTTTTCTGTGTACTTGTCTATCATTTTTGCCATAATAGGACCTGCCTTTAAATCAACAACTGATATATTTTCTTTCCACCAAGGGTTAGTTCATTCACATCTGTTGTAAATTCAGTAGGGTTTCTGAGTAACTGGATTAGTAGTAGAGACAGAGACCCAATGGGTCACTCTCATCCTTATGCGGGTAAGGGGGCAGCTTGCTGGGGGAGTCTGTGGATGAATTATTTCCCAGACTACCAAAACATTTGTAATAAGGTGTACCCTTTCTGATGGTTTCCCTACATCCATTCTTAGTTAGTTCAATGCAGTATCATGCCATTTCTGGGCTGTCTCAACTAAATTATTATCTTCTAACTATCCTCTGTAATTAGCCATAAATTCTCTCCATATCTGGGGGTCCAACGTGCCTTCGGAAGGCATCCCAGCTTTCTTTAAAAAATGTTATGTGTTCGTAACTGCATCTTTGCTTTTATGATGTTTCGCTATTGTTAAAGCAGTGAATTCCTCCCATGTACATTGGGAATAACCCATGGTACCTATGAAACTGTAAGGGTTAATTACTCCCTTAACCAAGACAAGACTATACAATACAGTGTTTACACCCTTAGGACCACTGCAGTGGAATTTTCACAGTCTTTGTCTTCTTAGTCTAAACACAAATCAGGAGATCTGCCTTGGAGGATTCTGACTCGAATTATAAAACAAATGACAAGGCAAACAATAAAAATAACTTGAAACCCACAGATATATTCCACTATCTCAAGATTCCTTTCACAAGACATAACAATATCCATCTGAATGTAATCATAATACCACAGAAATTAAGTTCTTTGGATCTGACATTTTTATTGTAAATATGATTTTTATTGTGTGTTTGTTTGTTGTTTTTTCAGTACAGCATTAACATAGAACAATTGAGTAATCCAGACAGTGAGGCGCATAAGCCTCCATGAATGCTAGGAACTGTTGGTACTTATATGTGGCACGCGTTGGACTTGCAAGTCCGTTTGAATTAAACATGACAGTTTCGAATCATATTTCGTACATCATTATTAACGACAAGGTGTGTCCGTCTGTGGACGTGTAGTGGCTTTATGAGGGGTGTAGTGCCTCATTGAGTTTTGTAAATGTGATTGGGATTGGGATCTGTGTGTGGTTGTTTCATGGTGGCCCTTATACATAGTGAGTATCCTAGCAGTGGGACTCACAGGTCACCAATGAATATGAGTATGATGACATTGCTTATTTTGGACTCGCAGGTCTGGATCAATAAAACATAGCTTTTTTTATCCCGTATTCCAAAAACAATGATTAAGTAAAGAGTGGGATCCGACATTTTTAAAGGGACACCGTAGGCACTGTATCTGCTTCATCTCATTAAACTGGTTATAGTGTCTGGAGTCCTCTGGTACCATCATTTCTTTCAGCATTAAACAGTTTTTAAACTTTTAATGTTTTAATGCTAAACAAGAGTCCCCAGCAATCCATCCCCTCTGTGCTGCTTTGGCTAATAAGGAAGTATTAGCCTGAGCAGCAATAGGCAGCTGTGATTGGCTGAGAGTGTCAGCTGACTGCTTTTAGCCTGTCAGAGTTCCAACTGACGGTATGAATGGGTATGACAACAAGGAAGTGTGTAATCTCTGCCTTAGCTACACATACTGAAGGGGCCGGACTGTGGGTGGCCAGGGACTCTTATTTTGTGGCATACTGCATGAACATGGTGCAACACTGAATGGAGGGACAGTGCCAGGGCACTCCAGGCACTATAACCAATTCAAAGAGATGAAATGCTTATAGTGACTACAGTGTCCCTTTAAGTCACTTCTTAACCAGACAGACTGACAGGAATGTAGATCTGAGAGCAAAATTATATAGGTAGAAAAGTAAAATATTTTTCTCA